CTCCATTGATGAACCTTCATCAATTGTCTTTTACTTCTCTTACAGAACATGTGTGTGTATATATATATATGAGCTGATATATTGAAATCTAATGAGAGTAATTGCATATTTATTATTAAAAAAATTAATTTAATTTAATATATTATGAGGAAGAGAAAAAAAATTTACATACCCGTTTCCAGAAAGAAAATAAAAAAAATTTTGAATCCATTTTTAAATTTATATATCCGCCAATATATATAAATAAGACTCATGCAACATGCAATATACGATATTATATATGGTGGTGAAAAGAGCCCAGTAGACATGTTTGAGAAGAAAACATCATAGTCTTAAATTTGTTTGTATTCTGTCGTAATTGTTGCAAAGAATTGTTGGGTATCTTTTGATGACTGGATTTTTATTCTGCTCTCTGATTGTCTATTCATTATTTCGGTTTCTATTTCGTGTTCAAGTACATGGAATTAGGAATATAGTGTACGATTAATTATTTTAAGGGAATATAATGTCTTCATTAAAAACATCTAACCACCCTTTTACATTTATTGTATGATTAATTAAGTTCTTTGATTAATAATTTTTATCATTGACCTTTATTGTATTAATGTGGAAAGCAGCCCTGTTGTCATCCGTTAACCTTGTTCAAGTTGCACTCGATATATGAATGATGAAGTGAAAAAAGAATTTGATTGTTTTTCTGAAAATTCAAGTTCTCGATTGATTTATTTTAGATCATATATATATATATATATTTCGATTAGTATATTTTTAACTTAAAATAAGTTAGTAACTATCGTACATTGTATAATTATTGGTTATCGAAGAAATAAAATAATTCCAATCGATAAGAATATTGCAACCATCACAAGCACCGCCAAAACTGGTCAATGCTAGGTACATGCTCCCACATTTTAACACTTATTATAACAACAATATGATAAAAGTAATTTTGATATAGTCTATACCGTAATGTCTTGATTGTAGACACCACAATAAGCTTTAAGACCAGACTGGGGCTAACTATGAACCTCAATAGTTCAGCGTATTCAAATGGTTTATAGAGTAAGGGGTGCTTCATTCACTAGCTCCTTCGGTGCCTTCATCATGTAACCTGCTTTCGGGACCGTAAACAGTCCGACAGAGTACTTTGGCTTGTCTCCGCTCAGCATCAAGCGGTGATAAGTGGCCTTTAACCGCCCATTTAACCATGACTGCAACATCATATATCATACCAACTTAATCTATTAATCTTCCATTCCATCGTTTGCATATATAATTAATGGAATGAAGACTTACATGGAGAGATTCTCCAATGGTGACGACGAAAGCGTCTTTGGAGGGATTACAATCGATCCATTCTCCGCTGCTGTTGCTCTGAAATACCAATCCGTTAACCCCATTTTGGTACAAAATGGTCATTAAGTCCTTGTCTGTGTGAGCCCCTAGTCCAACCTGCCCTTCACTGGTTTTTGGCCCTTTATATTTCATTACCTTAAGAAGGTATTCACTCCACTCCATGTGTTCATCCATGTATTTCTCTACTTGGAAAATCTCTAATATCATTCTTCTTATCATATGACTTAACTCCCTTAATTCCTTTGCGAAGGATTGTATAATTTTGCTGTCAATACATACAAACACACGCAGATGTAATATTTATTAAGTGCACGAGGAGAAATTACAGGAAAACTACGTATATAAAGCTTAGAACCTGAAACTTGTCTGTCCTTGAGGCCAAAACGTACGACTCTGGGCTTCAACATTTCCAAGAAGGTGTGCATTATCAAAGCTGATGCTCTCGTACAATGGTATTTTAGGGTGTTGGCCAACATACCCATGGAAAGGTATTTTGGAAACATGTCGAGTTTTGATTTCCAAAGGCAGATCAAATAGCTCTTCCACGCCTCCAAATATTGTTTTCCGAGTCTCTAAAGGGATCTTGTCGAACAAAGCCTCGAAGCAACCGAACTCTTGAAGAGCTTGTTCGACTTGCCTTTGACCGGATCCCACTGATGGATGCCCGGTTTTATCTCCGGCTTCGTGAAATCGATGGCCGGAAGCTTACAAGGAGATTGTGAGCCCATTTCTGACCTGCAAAGCACAAAGGAGATTTGTGAATAAGTACTTAGATGTGTTTATCCTTATCGGTGTATGAGTATGAATATGCAAACTCTTCCTTTTATAGAACGATGGATCATGTTTCACGTTCGATAATGTAAAATAATTTTTTTATAAACTAAAATTTGTTCGGAAACATCATATTTTCAGCTCCCACGGGATACATTTTTTCTGTTTAAAGTAAATTTTGGTTGATATTAGACAAATTTGTTTGCATGGAGTATTGGAAAATAATTTTTTTATTTGAGGTGATACATAATTTATTCTTTTAAATAAGGTGAATGTTAAGTGTTTGGGAAGCTGTACCAAAAACATGACATTTTTCTTTTGCTTCTTAAAGAAAAACACCAGGTTTGTCATGCGTCTTTCACCGAAGACATTAGATAATTGTAACGTCTTCTCAAATACTATAAAAACTATCTTACTTTTAAAAAAAATATGCACCCCTTATACAAAAATTGATTTTTTTCTATTCTCTATCCAAGTAAATATGCCGACTTTATTATTATTTTGTACAAATCAATATTTTGAGAATCATTTTATGGGTATATGTAACTTTGTCTAACATTAAAATTTATAGTAAAAAGACCCTTTTAGAAAAAATTACATATGAAAAAGAGAAAAATCACCGTATCAAAATAAAAAAGAAATAAAACAATGGAAAAATTCATCTCAAAGTCAACGTAGAAAATAATAATATCGTAATCATATTTTCATTATCACTATACAAAGAGATTAAAATGGCAACGTATAAGCATGAACTAAATTACATCAGTAAATAAAGATATAATTGTTATCCCTAAAAGTCTCGGGTTTGAGCACCAGTAATAGTAGGATATTTGAACGTTTATTATTAAATAATTAAAAATATTTAGAACCAAATGTTACCGCTTATAATCACCTTAGATTAATAAAAAAAAATGACAAACGTACGATGGAGGGGTCTAGGCCATTTCCATTGCTAGTACTTTCGGCCTACACTTAAGGATGTTGATTATTATCGTATTTTGGAAAGGTGATCAGTTCCATTTGTTCGTGTTTTTTAATTGTGGGTGGACATGAATGCATGAAGTTTTATGATATTCTTAAGCTCATCAATGGAGGAAATGTAGTGATAAACTTGTAGTAGATATATGTTTGGACGTTTGAATAGAACATCTTTGTGAAAGGCATGTATATTTTATTAACTTCATTGTGGAGTTTGAATTGACAGCTCTTGAGTATAATTATGGCCGCAACACAACAGCAGGTATAATTTAATATTATGGCCAGTTGATCCAGCTCATCTTCGGGTCCCCTAGTGGAGGCTAAAGAATATAGTATAATTTGGACTGGTTGTATATTTTATTTCGTCAATAATCGTATGTTGCTTGATGGTTATCTGTAACACACCCAAATTAAACTTTCTTTAATTCTTTCAGCAATTTAAATTGCGATTTATATCTGGATAGGGTAAACTACTTTTTTGTTACTTCTTTTATTCTAATATTTCTATTTTGGTCATCCAACTATTCTTTTTATAAAATTATATCTACCGTTATATTTTATTTTGATAACTTATTATGATTGTTGACTTAAACGAAGATGATGTGACATAACATAATAATAATTTTAATCCTCAAAACTTGTGTATTCTATTAATTTGGTCTTAATTCAAAATATTCAATAATTCTTCATATTTAAAATTTTGTCAATTTAAAAATTATATGTTTTTTCAATATTTAAAATTTTTAATATTAAGAGTTTATTGAATTATTTCAAATTATGACCAAATAGATAAAATATATAAGCTTTTAGGCCTAAATTTATTAGTATACCAATTCATGCCATCATCCTTGTTAAGTTAACGGTTAAAACTATTGACAAGTGACCAAAATAAAATATAACATTAGGTATAATTTTAAAAATTAAAACTCAACTCGAGCTTAAAGAAACTTGAACACAAACTATTCTCACACTTTGTTCGGTTGAAGCTCGAACCTGAACATTAAGTATATTAAAATATTAGCATGCATTTTTTTTTAAAAAATAACATATAAATGTTAATATTATTAATAATCTAATTTAAAATTTTAAAATTTTAATATATTAAATTTTCAAGTTGATTGTGAGCTTTTAAAGTTAGGTATCAAGTAGCTCGTTACGGCTTGTTAAAAACTCAAGTCAAGTTTGAGCTTGAGTTTAGTTCATTCCAATTGAGCGTCGGTCAAACTTCGATCAAATTAAACTCGAATAGCTTTGGATCTGTCTCGTCTCATTTATATCACTATTTATATCTATATATAATACATTTTATAATTTATTTTAATGATAATTAAAATTAATTTATAATTAATTATAGTTTATTATTTTTAATTAAAATTATTGAATAAAAATGATTAAAGATAATAAAAAAACAGAATAATAAGTAATTGATGAGGTGAAGTTTAATCTCAAACTATAGGAGATAAGTGTATTTTTAAATCAACTATCATAGGAAATTTTGGATTATTACATTTTATGATCAAATCGAATTTGATTGCGTTTGAATTTAGGTTGATGGGCCGAGTTTTCAAGTTTTGACAATACTTAATATGTATAACGTCCTCGAATTCTAAATTAAATTTTAAAGTTTAAAACTTTCTGATTCATTCATTCATTCATACATACATACATACATACATACATACATACATACATACATACATACATACATACATACATACACACACACACACACACACACACATACATACATACATACATACATACATACATACATACATACATACATACATACATACATACATACATACATACATACATACATACATACATACATACATACATACAAGATTTATTTGTTTCCTAATATCATAGCATTACAAAGATGAACTTCTAAACAAATAAAGAGACGAGTCTAGCGTTTCTGGAAATTAAACAACTTTATGGAGACAGTGAAGATGGCTCCAAATAGTACTGTGAAAGCAACAATTACAGCTGCCACAACTCCAATTAATTCATGCCTGAAGTCGAAATAGTTTCTCAAGTATTGTTCTACTGTCTGACCATCCTCAAGGACATCCTGGATATCTCCGAACTGTGAAACCACCAAACCATACAGTGTCCAAGATACTGGACAAATGTAATAGTACCATCTCCACCATATAGGAATTCTCTGTAATTTAAAGATTTGGAAAGAAGTTGGTCATTCTGGAAAGTGAGTGAATATCTCAACAACTTGAGAACGCGACACTTACCGGTCGTGGGATGATGAATCCGGAGAACACGTTCCACAATCCATAGAATGCAGAGGAAACTATGGCTGCAATGTGGTGGTTTGGTGTGACGGCCACAGCCATCATGCCATAGAAGGTGAAGTACAGTAAGGTGAAGTACATGAAGAAGAAATACCAAAAGAATTTGGCAGCAGTCCATTCGAAACCGATCATCGCATACACTACAAGGCCATACACAGCAGCTTGAACAAAAATATAAGGTATCTCGATTAAGACCTGCAGTTTTTCGAGTGCGGAAGTCAGTTCTGATGTACCACATTTTGCACAAGTTCCTTTTCAAGAGTGAATTCATCTACATAAACAAAAAGGGGGAAAAACATGCCTGGGCAATGGCATATGGCATGGCAGAATACATTCCAGCGGCTCTTTCTCTATAAAAGACTGTCCTTTCAACCGCCACCACGGGCTGCACGGATGCAGCGTTTTGGATACCTAGGAAAAGAACAGCTGCATACATAGATCCCATTGCATTGGCCAGATCTTGCCTCTTTTTCCTGTAATTTTACCATGTGACAATGAGATATACAAATACAATACAAGACCAAACATGAAGCTGAGAATTTGAACTTGTTGCAGCTTACGTTTTAGTCCCGAGGTCCCAGAACAGTGTCCCGAACATCAATGCTATGACTGTTGTAAAAATTAATCTCACAGCAGTATAAGCAGGGTTGCGCCAATATGACCAGTGCTGCTTCCATAAACAAGCTGCACACTGAGTCAAGAATGGCCGAGAGAACTGAGTTGGAAAATAGAGTTCCTTTGAACCAGGAGCAGGTTTGCTCAAGTCTTCAATGAGAGTTTTGTTTCTCCTGAATAAACGGCATTCATCGGTGTTAAATTAAAGGATATATATAGATCCTATGCTGAATTAAACAAAATGGATTCTTGCAATGTTGATGATTACCTGTATAAGTCTGAATTTTTGTAGATATCAGCAAAATCAACACCTAAAGCTAATTCCTGCGCTGCCGTGCTAACTTCCAACATCCAAGTTGCTGGATTGTAGCCATCTTTGATTTTGCTGACTCCTTCAATTCCCTGAAGGAGATGAACAGATATGCTTATAGATATAGTTCATGTGAGCTGAGAAATGAATCAGTACTTTACATAGTAATTTATGGTTCTCTATTTCATCTCACCTCAAAATAATCAATAAGATGTTTAGAATGGTGTCCTAATGGTCCCACATAAATTTCTTGTCCTCCACGCTTCATAAGGAAGAGCTGTGATAGCATGTTCGTTAAGTTATACAATTACGCATAACCAAATTGTTTTCAAACTAGTTTTTTTAATGGTTTTCACCTCATCAAATGCTTCAAATATGTCGATACTTGGCTGATGAATGGTGCACACAACCGTTCTTCCAGTGTCCACTGTGTTCCTAACTGTTCTCATAACAATTGCAGCAGCTCTTGCATCAAGCCCTGAAGTTGGCTCATCCATGAAAATGATAGAGGGGTTTGCTACAAGCTCAACCGCAATAGTAAGCCTTTTTCGCTGCTCAGTTGACAAACCATTTATACCTGGCAAACCAACTTGTGCATGCCTTAATGGATTCAGTTCCACAAGATCCATGACTTCATCTATATACATCTGCTAATGTAGGATGAAATGAAACCATAAATTTAATTCGAGTAAAAAACTATTGTAGCAAAGTAGAATAAGAGACTTGAAAAAGCATAGAGATTCATGAATGCCAACCTTTCTGGTTTCGGCACCAACTTCTTTCGGTAGTCGAAGCCAAGAAGAATAGAGCAAGGATTCATACACAGTGACATGAGGAGAGTGAATATCATTTTGCTCACAATATCCAGATACTCGAGCAAATGTTTCTTGCTTCTTCGGGAAACCAGAAACAGTGATGTTCCCCTCGATATAACCACCAGTTTTTCTTCCAGCAAGCACATCCATCAGAGTGGTTTTGCCAGCACCACTAACTCCCATGAGAGCTGTGAGAACGCCAGGTCTGAAAGAACCACTAACACCCTTCAATAGCACCAATTTATCTTCATTGGTACCTTGTTCTTTAATTTCCTGGAATTTCAATCAATTCATTGAACTCTCTTATTTGGACATTAACAGAACAAGCATATGATAGTTGTACATGGAATCTCATGTTACCTGTGGCATATCAACTGAATAGATAATATCATCGAATGTGATGGAATGTGGCTCAAATGGAAGAACCATTCCCTTTTTCTTGTTAACAGTGGTAGCCTCAGCCATAGACATCGACTTGGATGAGAAACTTCTTCGAGTGTAATCTTTAACCTCAGCATTTCAGAAATATTTAGAATGTACACAAACCCAAGGATGCAAAAACTAAATGACCTCAATACCTGATCTAGTTACATTGCTTGAGCTACTTCCATTGTTTGATAACTGAAGCTTTCCGCCAACTACATTGGCTTGTTCGTTCTCTTCCGGTTTTTCTGATATGACAGCCTGAATTTTCTCAAATGCTGCATATTTATTCGCAGAAAGGTAAAAGATTAGCTCTTCCTTCGAAAGAAGGTAAGTTTAAGACTTGTCGGTGTCAATAAAGCTATACTCACGCTTTAGATAGCCAAGAGCCAGAGTATAAAAAAAATTGAACAATACAATGAACCCAAGCAATCCCCCTACTCCGAACCAATACCAATCCGGGTCATGGAAGAAACCCCTAGACTTCAAAACTGTAATTCCCAGTGATTCGTTTGAGCCCGGAAGAACCTTCAGTATGAAACAAAATCTAAAATATCAGCAGGTTGTTAAGAGATAAGATTGAAAACCCAATAGACATTGCAAATTCAAAGCATTACTCGTCTCCACTGGTTTCCAAGGAATTCATTAACCATCAATGCATTTTGTCCATACATCATAGGCGAAATCCAGTATCCCCATATCCACCATTTCTTTATGTCCTCTGCAACATTGAACAAAGAAAATCAATTACCAATTTTTATTTTTATTAAAAGGTTGGTATTTTTTTTATATGTCTAAGACTTCTAATTCATACCTCGTGACAGGACAAAGCCACCCAATGCAAAAAGTATGAGCAAGGCAAATGCTCCGAAAGTGTTAGCAACAACCATGTTTCTACCAGCTGCAGCAATAAATCGGAATAATCCCGAAGCCATCTGGTTAACTAAGACAAGGATGAGGTACTGCTTAAACATCCTGTGCCAAAAAATAACTTTGAACTCAATTTTAATCAGAGCTAATAAACAAGAACGACACTATATACGGTACTAGTCAAGTTCCACTTGGAATTTTTATTGTCAATTCGTTTCTTTACCTTTCAACATTTGGATCAAATCCGATGACATAGTAGGTAAGAAATACCCATATGGAAACTTCTGCAAATGAGATAGGGATCTTTAGTATCCATGCTGGTAGAGCATATGCCCATGAAGGATAGAATAGGAGGTCTCTCTGCTTATAAAATACGGGAAGCTTAGCAATGGTCATAGAAATCTCAGACATCCCATTAAACATGATTGTAACCAAGCCAAAGAACAAGGCCCCCATATAGATTCCTCCCCCTACGATTGAATCGTGTCTCATCTCGGTCCTCAGAAAGAGTGTCATGGTAATGAATGCCATCACTGTGAGCTAGTAGCACAAAGAAAATAAAGTTAAGAATCACAGGTTAAACCTTAATAATTGTGGTACAAGAATTGTGTTAAATTAGTACATACTTGTATAAACTTGAAAATGTAAACAAAAGAGTTTCTCTTCATCAGCAGATATTCCCTGGATACGCAAGCTTTGAGCAACTCTTTCTTTCCAACACCATACTTTCTGGTTGTCAAAGCAGCTGGGTGGCTCTTCGTTTTTGCATATGGAACACCAAGTTCATCTCCAAGTTTCATCCCCACGTGAAACGATTGGAATGCCTCGGAGAATTCCTTGGCCGTGACGAACCTGTAAGGTTGATCTTTACGTACCCAATACTGCTTTTGATCTTTCCTTGATGTAACCTGCAATGAACACAATCGAGTTAAATGTGATAGAAGAGAAACTTTGGTCCCAAAGGAAAATGGATCAAAACGTACTTCTTGCAAGAAGTCAGCCACGCCTTTTCTCTCCGGACACTTGAATCCCATATATTCAAAGAAGCTCAACACGTGTTCGCGAGGACCCTGATATACTATCTGGCCATCAGAAAGGAGAATAATGTCATCAAAAAGATCATAAGTCTCTGGAGCTGGTTGGAGGAGAGAGATGACTGCAGTTCCATTAAGGATGTGAACACTTTGCTTGAGGGAGTTCACTATTTGGAAAGTTGTAGAGCTGTCCAGACCAGTAGATATCTCATCCATGAACAGTGCCTTCGCCGGTCCAACCATCATTTCACCTAATTGGGTAAACATATTTAGATTTCATGATAAGAAATTCAGGTTAACTCACATACTGAATTTTTGGTTTATTTGATATCATGAATTACCTGTTGTGACACGTTTCCTCTGTCCTCCAGAGATACCCCTTAACATTTCATCTCCTACCATAGTGTCTGCACATACTTCCAGTCCTAAAACCTGCAAAAATTATGGCGAAACTATTCAATAAGTAATTAAATTTTCTTTTAACCACAGTGGTTTTTGCATGTCTTTCGACATACATCGACTTCTTTGTGGCGTTTACCTTCATAATATAGTCTGTGATTACATTTGCTTCCTGACCTTCTGTTGCTACTGCCTGAAATATTAGAAAAGGTAAAGCAACTCATGATGAATGCATGATTCTGTATAATATATGCCTGAAAAGTTACAATGGCGTCATTGGAATGTTAGTTCTTACCTTCATAAATACATCCATATCCGGATCAGGTTTAATGTTCGCCTGTTTCTCTCTTCTTGACAACTCTTCCAACATCTCTGTAAACCCCCCAAAACAACAAATTTCATACTTTGAAGTATAAAAGAAGCATTATATTGTTCCAAAAATAAAAAGGGCCGGAAATCAATCGAACATACCGTAACGGTCTCCAACCCCTTGGCATCTTGCAGAAAAGGCCAAAGTTTCCCTCACGGTCATTTCTCCAATATGAAGATCATGTTGACTGATATAGGCAGCTGTTCTCTGTGGTACAAACTCACCCATGCCATGGCCGTTGTAGGTCACCGTCCCGGAACACTGCAAAAGAAACTCACTCCCAAATTAGAAATCAAAACAATGAAAAAAAGAACTTAACCAATGATATTTGAAAGAACAGTAAATTTTGTCAAGTACCTTGAGAGCAGGATCAAGCTTCCCAGCTAAAGCCAACAAGAGAGTGGTCTTCCCAGAGCTTGGAGGACCCAAAAGCAATGTCATTCTGTAATAAGTACATGTGAACAACAATGATTGAACAATTCCAGGATCTCCATAACTGAATAAAAGAAAATTTTCATATGGTTCATCGCCATGGTTACCTGCCGGGCTTAATGATGCCACTGACATCATTGAGGATGGTCAACTGTTTCTTTCTACTCGAAAGAATACCAATATAATTCAAGAAACCCTGCAAGCACAATACAAGCTGAAACATGAGAAAGAATACCAAGAAAACAAAACTAAAACTATGAAATCAAGGGATGGACCGAGGGGACTGACAGGACGGTTGTCCCTATAAAAATTTCAAATTTTCGTATAATTTCATTATTTTCTATTGATAATCTGTTTTTTCCCCTCTCCTATCAGCATTCGTTCCTCTTAATGAAATCGTAAGAGTATTTTTCCAGGTTGTTACCTCGAATATACTAGTAGTAAAATTAAGAACCGTAGGCAAAGAACTGGTTCCAACAAAAGCTTGAGCTTCAATATTTAGATGTTCAAACCGGACTTCAATGGTGGGAAGAACAATGCCAACCCTGAAAACAAAAAGACAGGATCTTTAACACTTTCCCTTTTCATTTTCCTAGTAACCAAACATGAAAAAAAGGGAAAAGGTAGGAAAACTGATTATACCTAGCTATACGGTTCTTGAGCTTCAACAAGAACTTCTCATTGTCTTCCTCAGCAACTCTGACCAACCTCTCAAGCAAAGCCCGCCGTTGTTGCCACCCAAGGTCGTGAACATCGATTTCATCGGCACCACCTTCAGAGCTAGTCAATATACCTTTCCTGAGACGAGAAACAGTGGGTAGCTTCTCGAGTGCAGCCCACATTAAAGCTCCTTCATCGTCGTCTTCTCGAAAAGACCTCGAAAATGCCTCCAGATCATTGTTTCTCCATACAGAAGAACTACCCGATCGTATACTCCTCCGTAAATGACTACTCGCTCGATAAATATCACCTCCCTCCATTTTTTCCAACACCCACCAAAGCTTTATCAAAAACTCTCACGTTTTGGGAGCTTAAATCAATGAAAAAAAGATTGTAGCATTAGTTTCTCATGGTCAAAACCAAGAAAAACTGGAGAATCAAAATTGAGGAAGAACAAGTGTATGGTTATTATTTTGTTAAGAAATGTGAAGTATTCACATTCTATACGTTTTAAGTTGTAAAAGTGAACCAACAATAAAAGAAAACAGGAACAGTATGTATGAAGTTGGAGAATTGCAGCTGCATGGATATTAAGTTTGTTGCTATATATAGATAAGATTCATAGCAACTATTCTAGAAGCCTTGCTGGTTCATGAATATTAATATTAAACTTGTTATATATATATATATATATATATATATAGGATTGATAGCAATCCTTCTAGAAAGCTTCTAGTTTTTATTTCACCCTTAATTTTATTTGGGAATTTAAAATATTTTTTTATTATTTCTGGGTTTTATTTATTTATTTTTAATATTTTAATAAAAATTTTAAAAAATCTCAATCGATCATATATATAGTCATGTCAAAAAATTTAGTTACCGCTAGAGTGATTGTTGATAATTATAATTATAAGGATTTATTTAATACGATTTTTTTAATAATGATTCATTTAATCTATAAGTTTTATATAAAATATGTCTCTCGACCTCTATGTATACCTGAAAATCAAGTGAATTTTGTACGAACCAAGTTATCTCAGTAGTTACAGTGATGATAGTTATCTCTAGAGTCTCAGGTTCAATCATCAGAGATTGTAAAGGTATGATTGAACATTCATTGTCAAATAATTGATAATCTTTATTATATATACTACATTGTAATCACCTTAGATTAATAAAAAAAATTGAATCTTAATTTTCAATTATGAATAAAGTGAATATTTATTTAATAAAAACTTTTTGATTTATAATTTAAAATTAGATTCACCTAACTTTTTGATACAATTGCATTTGGCATTTAAGACTCAAAATCCAACCATTAGAAGTCAATGAATTTGACTTGTTGCTGTCGTCAAGTAAAAATAATGTGGAAACTGAAGAAGCTCCCATATTTGAGTCATTTTTTTTTCTAATGCTCATCTTATCATTTATTAGTCACTCAAAATCTTTATTTGTTTTTGGATAAAGTATTTTTCTGTCCCTAAACTTGGTAATGTGTTTTAATTAGATCCTTAAACTTTTTTCATATCGGTCTACAAGATTTTTCGCTCATTGTTAGTCCTTATGATGAACAAGTTGTCAAGATTATGGACCAACTTCAGAATAATACATCATTAGAAGGACTAAAATAAAAAAAATTCAAATTTATGGATCAATATGGACTAAAATAAAGTTACACGTCATCAAAAGAACTAAAATGAAAAAAGTTGTCCAGTTTATGGATTAATATGGACTAAAATAAAGTTTAAGGACTAAGTTGAAAATTATTGTTAAGGAACTAAAAGTTGTTTTACCCTTTTTTTTAAAGAGAGATAAAGCAACTTTTAGTCTTTGAACTTAACAAATTTTCAATTTAATCTTTGAATTTTATTCCGATCCACATTAGTCTTTAATTAAACTCAACATTTTTTTAATTAAATCTCTTGATTTTAATTTTTAGTTCACATTAATTCCTGAATTTGATAATTTTGTCATTCTAGTTTGATGGTATAGCATTCTGATATTATACCACAGGTCCACAACACCAAAGAGATTAAAATAGACGAAAAACTCAAATTTAAGGACTAATGCGAAAAGATTATAAATTGAATATTTTAATTAAAAGGTCCAAAATCATATTAACATTTACGAAATTTTCTTTTGAATCGGCCTTACGAGTCACGGGAGCACGTGATGTCATCAAAATTAGTGGTTGCAATTAACCAAAAGAAAACCCTGGCCGCCACTTTTAAAACCTTCATTTTCTTCTCAATTAATATTCTACCTCCCAACCTCCCCCTTGCAAATTAAATTCAACTCTTCACATTTTACATATACTTTTATAATATTTTTTATTAAAATAAAATGATTACAAAATAGTATCTATTTTAAATAATTTGAATCTTTAGACAATGAAAACTTAAACACTCTTACAGTCTATGATACTCGAACCTAAAATCTCTAAAAATAACAACCGTCCCTTTAACCACTAAAATAGTTTGATTCGTGTGTCATTATACTTATTTTAATAATCTTACTTTTGTAAAAGTTTATATATTCATATCCTACTAGCATATAACTTTTTATATCGTATATAATTCTATATTTTTTATTATTAGTTTTTTATCTAAAATTTTGGATGAAATTCAATGGCAAGTTATCGAGGACAGTTGAAAAGATAATGATATACATTAGATTTGAATATATTTGAATGTAATTGTACCGTTGTAGTATATCTGGACAATTATTATAATTTGTTGGTCTCGTCAATATAAATATAATTAAATATCTCTAATTACATTCTTCAATTTTTAAAGAAATTGGTGAGAATTGTTGTAATTACACATATGATTACATTTTTTAATTTTAATATTATTTTAAATTTTAAACTTGCGTAATTGTATAATTACATTTTGTAAGGTCAAATATCACATTGAGAATTATAATGTAATTACACTTTACAAATCAAATATATCTAAAGAATTAAAAAAAATCATTATGTATTAATACCTAAAAGGTTAGGTTGAATTCCGACATTTAGCCTAATTATCTTCTTTTTTAATAATATAAAGTGATTATCAGGTAATATTTGTTCAAAATCTTTCTTAATAACTGACAACCAACATACGCTTTACAAACGCACCTGCTTGAACCCAAGAATTAAAATGAAAATAGCATCCTTTAATTAATTGAGTCCACTTAATGATTCATCTAATTATCTTAAAAAAGAAAAAGGAAAAATAAGTGACGGTGACTAAGTTGACCTACAGCCGTCCTCATTATTCATGCAGTTACATTGATTTCCGTAAGAAATTAAATGTCGTAGGACTTTGAAATTTCCATATTGCCAACCCCTTTAATTAAACTTTGAAGTTGTAGGCATTTATAATATATATGCTTCACCTAACATTACAACTAGTATGTTTAGGGCATCGTGTTTCGTCTTAAGTATAATGCACGTGTCCAAGTCCAACATCAACCTTGTCTTGGAATATAGGCCACATGATTGACACAGGCACCGTGCTTATTGCTTTCTCACAACAAAGATCAAAACCCTGCAACACAAGCTAAACATCTTTGAATAAGACCCAGAGTTCCTCTTGCCACTTTAAACAACAACATTTGTGGATAGTTTACTCGAGAAGAATTCCATTTCATTCATGATTTTCTTGGTTGTCGATTAATCTCATTTTTTACGCTTATTATCCATGAGAAAATGGTATCATGGTAGGTTGCATATTCAATAGCATTTCAAGTGTTGTTAAGATACAATTTGCAGAAATATTGTCCATTCATCAGTAACATGAAAAAGACTCGGAAATTTTACATAATTATCTGATTCTTTTGGTAATACAGATTCATGATTGCACCAGTGATCTTCATCATAAAAAAAATTATGTTGCAAGAAAGCAGATATTAAACAAAGATAAAATCGACACCAAGTTCGGAGAATCGTTCTTGTTTAATTATCAGAATATGCATTGATGTAACCAAGTTTTTAGTCGTAATTTTAGATGCCAACATGTTGTACTTTGAAAGCAAGCAATAAATTATTACCTACATTCAGACATGCATAGCAACACATCTTTTGTCAGTAATGTTGACAAGGAATTGAACTATTCTTCATCGTCGTCCTCCTCTAGCTTATTTGAGGTACTTCGATTAACATCAGAGGCGAGCTCAGCTTCTAATGGCTTGGAAGGAAGCCTCTCGTAAGCTCTTGATCCTGCAGGAAGAAGCCTGCGTTACCTGAAGGTGAGAATCTGGCTAAGCTGATCATATTTCCACCTTTGCTGACAATAGACAACAGCTGCAAGCAAAACTGCCGTGACGGGAATGGCAACATCCCAAAATTCGAGAAGAAGTCCATTGTTGGATTCACAAACTCGTACTCCTCTGCGAAGTATGGATTCGGAACTGGAGCTCTCATATAGTCATAGAAATGAGGGAGGAGTCTGACCACCGAAATCCCGATAAAATATAGTTTCCTGAGAGGTTTACAATCGATTTGCCACCTGAAGTTACCAATGACTTGAGGGAGCAAGAAGAAATCTTGAACAAGGCCAACATACTCCTCTAGTTCAATTTCCCATTGCCGTAGCGTTTGGGAGTTACCCCTTGAATCTATATGCCTATCTGTTTGAAGTGGTATCTGTTTGGTGTTAACAGTATGAATGATCAGCACAATTATGTATCCAATGACATGTATGGTAACGGTTGCAATAAGTACCCGCTTGTCACTAGGGACACGATGTGATTCAAGTGGAGCTCGTGAAAGTAATCTGATACAAGATTTCCACACCTTCTGACAGAGCCTCAGTGTCAAAAGGAACATCACCAGCACAAGATGCTTCACCGTGTAATCAATCAAACTCAGCCACTGACTCTTCTCGAGATCATAAGATTGCATTTCATAAGAATCAGAAGCCTCTCTCTTTAAGAGAGCTTCGGCACCAGTAATAAGAGGAAGACTGTACCCAAGGGCTTGGACACCCAGCATGACAAGGGAAATAAAAGGAGAGGAATCAACATCCTGGTTGAGGTAAAACAGCTGACTAGAAATGCAAGCAATAGCAAATGAAAGGGTCAAAACACGGAGGATTCCCTCAACACCCCGGCGAGAGAGAACATCTTCCCTTTGCTTCCTGTACATAATCGGAAGAGTTTGAAGCTTAATCATCCCAAAATATAATGGATCATCTTCAGTTCTCTGACTGGATATGGAAATTCTTGCAGTTGGGTTGACCAACCACCGAGCTGTCGTTGGTGGGTAAGACACTATGACTTCGATCAAGCAATCCAACCCTGATTCTAGATCCATGGTCTGAGATAAGATTGTCCAAGAAGCTCGAACATCCCTGAAGCCGACAAGGTACATCCGTCCAAAAATGTGGATCGTAAAGACCCTCCAGAAAGAAAAACGAAAAACAGAAAAATTGCATCACTATGCCAAGGCAACCAACCATGCAAAGCTGCCCACTAGTAGAATTCCAGATTCCTTCAGCAGCTAGAGTCATGTTGCTAAGTCCAGACCTCCTCCATTGCACTCTATACTGATCCTCCGATTCAGGAGCAGCCCGAAAAACTG